GGGCTGTCTCATTCAGCACAGCGTCGCAGTGCAGAGTGACGGAGTCCCCCTCCGTGACTGAGCTCCCCGGTTGGGCTGACAGGGCAGGATGGGTGAACAGCTCTGCGCAAGACACCCGGAGAGGGATAGATGAATCTGGGCTGCCGCTTCTCGTCACCCAAGACACCACCAAATTCCATTCGGCTTAGGCAAACAGTGGTGTATTGGGTAGAGCCAGCCACCACACTGAATCAAGGAGGAGAATAATCTCTGTATTCTCACTGTGTCACTGGTGAATAACATGTATTCATCTGTCCTACGAAATGTGAATAATATCCATTTGCATAGTGTTATTCAAGCATTCAGAAATATAAATATAAATATTTCTAGAAATGGTGTTGGGAGACCAGTTGGTAGCTCTCTTCCATATTCATGCCCTGATTGTCTGATAAATAGACACCATTTTCTATGAAATATCGAATCAGGCTCTAAATGGTCATGACATCCTCTTGTCATGAGTGCTCATTCGCTCAATCATAGTCCACTTCATAATACTTCATAATACTCACCCCACACATTGAGCCTGATGGGCAGGCTGGGGTCCAGGGTAAAAGGTTTCTCTCCTCGCACAGCCTGACACCAGTACTGGCCAGTGTGAGACAGATTAGCAGGGCTGATGATGTAACTGGAGCTCTGGCTGTTGTGTGCTGGCTTGTCCAGATGGTCTTTGTACCAGTTAAAGCTCCAGCCTGGAGAGCCGTCCTCCACCACACAGGAGAGGGTGACTGTGTCTCCTTCAAACACCTCTGTGTGTAGAGGCTGCAGGGAGAGGACAGTTCTGGGACGGATGACTGAAACAGAGAACAACGACTTTAATATAGAAAGAATTCTTCAATTTACCCAGGTGATGGTTGGCAGTGTGTTTCTTCACTATAAAGTACATTTACACTGTAAATTCACATTCAGGATTTTTTCTTAATATCTCATCAGTACATCCACTAAACTATCTCCCTATTTTGATCACATTTCTGTTATTTAAATAAAATTATCAGGAAACTCGATAGGACACTGACAGAAATGCTCATTTGAAACCCCATGTAGGGTTAGGGTTAGCACTCCCACACTACTGAGACATTTTTGACGTTCAGTGCTGGATTTTGGGGCCCAAGTCAGCTTTAGGACAAGTGATACTTTGCTCATATGTGATATTTTATTTTTCAATACTACTGACTGCTTGTGCTGTGTATTGTACCATTGCATCCATTCAAAAATTGGATCCCAGAACTGAGTAAGATAAAAAGAAAACCTGCTCTAAATGGTATACACTCTTAATTCTGTCATTGAACATGCAGCTAGAAGCTAGAAGAACAGCATTTAACATTCCAGGTTTCTTGTAACCCTAACCCTGCTCTGGACTTAAATGGATGCTTATTTATATACATTTTTAACAGATATTTTTCAACTGATTGAAAATTTGCCAAAAGAAGACATTATTGAAGGAGAATTATGATTCTTTTATCAGTGGTTTTGATTGTTTTACACTCATATTGTTTGGTTTGAGAAATGTTTCAAATTTCTTTAGTGTTTTCCAGGGCTCAACAAAATAACTCTATAGGACTCCTGTGGAAGGTATCTGAAGGTAAGTGTGAGCTTACAATGTTACACTGTCAGATGCAAAACTAGTTTTGCTGTATGATGATATTCACTGTTGCTGTGCTGTATTTCACCTGATTTCTATTATTACAGAACAGGGAAAAAGGCCTGATTTGTTATTCTACTCAATATAGAAAAGCTGCAAGTAAGAGTGAACGAGACACCATACCCTGTACTTTCAGCTCGACTGGACTGCTCTTTTTGGAGTAAGATGGATTCTCCCTGCTCCTGCCCTGACAGGAGTAATGTCCTGTGTGTGATTCCAGAGCTGAAAGGATGGTCCAATTCTCATCTTCAGAATGGTGAACTGGAGATGGGTGTTCATCTTTGTACCAGTCAAAGCTCTGCATCGGATAACTTCCAGGGACAGAGCACCTCAGTACTGCAGTCTCTCTTGCGTACACCTCTGACCACTCCTGTCCCAAGGATATCACTGCTGTGGGCCGTTCTGCAAACATACAGGAAGGAGCACAACATAAACTATGAACTAGTATATCAGCAGTGTGTCAAAGCAAAGCGATTCTCAAAAAGTACATTACAGATTGATCTGCAGCTTACTGAGGATAAAACCAACTCTATAAGATAACATAAACACCAGGCTTTGGAACACCACTCTCTATAAAGATTTTCAGGGAGTTTTTACTTATATTCAGTAGTTTCAACATACAGTCTATACTTAATTTTCCAGTTCCAGTTGCCTCATATGTGTGGATGTTATTTTTGACAGAACTTAATTTTGAAGAATCTCTCTGTAGGTTGTGAGACACAGTTAAAGGCAATAAAAATAACGTATTCTGTTCATTCTGTGATTTTCTTGCCTGTTTTGTTTGTATGAGAAAGTAACATTTGAAGTAACTCTGCAGTAAGATTGTCTACACATCTCTTCACTAAACAGCCCACAGTCAGTAAGATCTTAAATGCTGTTTCTGGATAGTAACTGCCGCCCCTCTGCATCTCTGTAGCTTGTATTGAGACTCACCATGTACCTCCAGCACAGCTGGCTGGCTGAAATTTAAATAAATGGGCTTCTCTCCCCTCTCTGCTCCACACCAGTACAGCCCATTGTGAGACAAGTCAACTGCTGTGATGGAGTAGCTCGCTCCAGCCACATCCTTGCGGTCACTCCGGTGCACAGTGGTGTTCAGGTTGTCCTTGTACCAGGAGTACAGCCAGCCCAGGGTCCCGTCCTGTGCCCCACACCTCAGAACCACTTTGTCTCCCTCAAAGATCTTCCTGTCCGGATCCTGGGTCAGGCTCAGGGTAGGCAGCAGGTCTGAGAGAAACAATCTCTGTTAAAACGAGAAGTTTGACTCCAGGCATTTATTTCATTTCAAGCTGAAGGATCATGTTAATGAGGCTGGCCATTCATAAAGAGTGATCATGTGTTGGTTGGTGGAGTCTGTGCATGATGCCGAATCCCTTAACTAAAAAGCAGTTTCACAGTCTTTATTTCATGACACTGGTGCAAATGTCACTTGTTTGAAGCCCTGTTTATGCAAAAAAAAAATAATAATAATAATAAAATACACTTATATACCGCTTTTCCAGACCCACCACTCAAAAACCTTAACAAGAAATGAACAGCTCTCACTAGGGAGGAGAACAGAGTAATGAAGCCAATACACAGATGAAGATCTATGAAGATCAATTCATAGATTATTTGGAGGCCATGATTGGTAAAGTCCAGGGGCTTTATTTGGCCAGGACTACTCTTTTTGAGAAACATCCTGGGATTTGTATTGACCTTGGTGAGTGAGGACCATGGTTTTATGTTTTCTCCAAAGGACAGCACCATTTTTTAGAGAACAGTGTTCCCATCAATACACTAGACCTTAGGACACACACAGAAAGCAAGGTCAGCACCCACTACTGGTTCATCTTTTCTCTGATATAGGTTCTGTGCTCTGCCAATCCTCTGCATGTCTTTTCCACAGTTTTGCAGCACTTGGTTTGTCTGGATCCATGTGAAAATTTACAATGGTCGTGACCGTGACACTACACAGACCTGTAATTGAAGAGGACTCACCTGACACCCTCACGGAAACAGTCCGGCTCCTGTTGGAGTAATAGGGAGCAGAGGCGCGCTGGCCGGAGCACGTGTACTGACCACTGTCCCGCACGGTGGCTGAGGTCAGAGTGTAGTTCACACCACTCAGACTG